TTTCCCCCCCCCCCCCCCCCCAGAAAATTCATCAATGAATTTTAATTGTTATAATATAGAGTTTTAACTTAGCAATTTTCTTTCATGTTGCACAATTGGTGTTCGAATTGAAATTGCTAATCACTAAATGTTGAAGGCGTTTGATTCTCCACCATTGATAGCCATTAAAAAGCTTCAAAGCTTTGAATTCGAATTTGGGTTTTCAAAAATATTGTTTGTTTGGATTGGGTGTTGTTGCAAACAATTAGGAATATTCTTTAGAATTTATATCTCAATTTTGAGGGTATTTGGTAAAGATTAAACTTGATTTTGGCTGAATTTTAGATTGAAACTCAAAAAAGAAGAAGAATAACACATGAGATACTTACTAAATTGTATTAAAGTTATATGTAAATTGTATTTAAGTTGTATTTTGTTGTAATTTTTTTATTTGAATGTTGTATGAAAGTTGAAATATAGTCGTATAATGTATGAATCATTGTATGAAATTTGTATTTAAGTTATGAATACTATCTTTTTACATAAAGTTGTTGATATGTATCAAAATTGTATTAAGAGAGGAAGTTTTGATTGGAATTTCAGAGAGTAAAAGGAACACATCACTTACAAAATATATACAAATCATATACAAAAGACATTGCAGTTATATTTAACAGGGTATGAAAGTTATAGATAGGTTGTAAATACGTTATATACTATATAATTAGTTGTATGAAATTTATTTTTTGTTTATATGTTATTATAGATGTATCAACTTTGTATAAAATTTATTTTTAATTTGTATATTATTCTACCATATAAATTTATATGTTGCTACTGTCACTTAAAATATCATTTATCCCATGAATTATTTTTTTATTTCATTAGTGAGTGGTAGAATAAAATGAAAATAACAGACGAGAATGATACCATCAAGTTTATTGATTTTTTCAATCGTTCATTCTCTCTTTTATTCTATTTAAGTCGTCATCAATGGAATAGTTTGACTGTTTGAGAATTGATAGATATCTGTCTGGCATTCGTTATTTTATTAGAGGCTAGCCTTCGAATGAAAGGGAAACAGACCGCTGATCAAATTATCTTCGTGGATTTTATCTCCTACGGTTCTCACGTTGCTTCGAATGGGAGCCTTGACGTAATTGGTAAAATTGCATACATATGATCAGAAGGTCATGAGTTCGAGCAGTGGAAACAGTCTCCTGCAGAAATGCAGGATAAGGTTGCGTACGATAGACCCTTGTGGTCCGGTCCTTCCCGGACCCCGCGCATAGCGGGAGCTTAGTGCATTGGATTGCCCTTAGTCCTAACAATAAGGTTTGATTGAATTTGAAAAGGAAAATGCTTATTGAAAGAAGAGCGGAGAGAAAATAAGAAAATGATGTAACTAAATCTCTTAATTTAAGGCACTAATAATGAATTGTATATAGTTTATAAGTAATCCTTATTTAGGGCGGATAATATATAAAATTAGGATAATTTTAGTAAATAAATTTTAAATATTGTATAGGAAAAAAAATCCCTTCTTCAAAACTTTGACAGCCACCTCACCCACAATTATACATTACAATTTGTAGTCAAATACAAATAAAATTTGCTAACTCGTAAAATTATGTCTGCATCGCCCCTCTCTCCTAGCTGTTGAGAGCAAAAAATCAGTGCACCCATTCTTCCTCTTTTTCTTCTTTCAACTTATTTCGTCCACTATAGCTTCACCTCTCCTCCACTCTTCATTATTTGTCCCAATCCCTTATTGTCATTACTCCACCACCTTGACCCATCATATCTATTTCGTCACTACAAAACTATCCTCCATATTTTATTCACTCACAATCTCACAGCCATGGACGAAAACTCCTTCCTTTCTCAAAAATGTATTAGTAGAAAAACAAATATGATACGTGAAATTACGTGTGGCTAACAAGACATGATACGTGGATCACTAAGAAGATCTGCGCTCCATATTGCTTTATCTGGAGTAGATAATTTCAGTTGGGTATGGCGACTATTGACTTTAAGCACAATATATTGAGGAAGAAGTTGACCATAATCTTCCCAGTTAATTTGATTGTTCATTAGCATATCTAAAAGCTTCAAATTATTAGGTTATGACACAGAAGAAGGTAGTCACAAAGAGGACCAAGCTCAGACCAATTGTCAAATAAGAAGGACACTTCTCCTCTTCCGACTTTCCATATTATTTGTTTACCACCACCTTTTTGATCTTGTACATGGCATTTCACGATTGTGATTGACCTGAATACTGTTGCTTCATAACAGGATGTACTCTCTCACAATATTTGGCCATAAGAAAATTCTTCCATAGGGCTGACCAGTCCTAAAATTCCGCCATTGTTTTGCTGTGAATGCATTGCAAGTGTCTTGAAGTTTTCTGAAATTTGTTACCCCCTCTTCATAAGGAAAGCTAAGTTTATCCGGGAAGACCAATGATATCTTTTCTTTTCCGCAGACTCTCCCCAAAAGAATCTGGTAAGCATTCTTTCTATTTGATTGAGTACACCTTTGGGTGGGTGTAAAGCTGCCAAAAGATGTGTTGGTAAATCTAGAAGAACATATCTAACCAACACTGCTATGCCACCAGAGGAAAGAATTTTAGTGTGCTATCTTGAAATTTTGTTAAGGACCTTGGTTATCATTTTTGAGAAAATAACTATCTTTTTCCTCCCAACATATAGTGGACATTCCCGATATTTAATAGGTAAGGCTTTGAGCTCTATCCCAATGATGCTTTCCACCCTTGAAATTTCATCTGGTTAAGCATTTGGAGTTAGAATAACACAAGATTTTGCTTGTTGACTAGTTGACCAGGAACTCTCTCATAATCAGTAAGAGCCTCCATTAATAGTCCTAATGATTTCCTGCGACCACTAGAAAAGAGAATGATATCATCAGCAAAGGCAAAATGATTAATAATAGGACCTTCTTATTCATATGAAAGGCTAAAATCATTAAGAGAAGCAATGTGATTTAATTTTCTAGAATAAAATTCAGCACAAATAACAAACAGAGAAGGAGAGATAGGATCTTCTTATCTTAGATCTCTTTCATTCAAAAAACTTGCCTAGTGCCATTAACAAGTAGAGAATACCAGTTACTAGAAATATATCTGAAAATGATGTCAATCCAAGTTTCACTAAAACCCAGATTTCGCATCACAACACATAGATATAGCCGTGACACTCTATCATATGCCTTAGCCATATTCAATGCAACATTTTCTTTCTCATTAGTTTTTCTAATATCTTGAATGATTTTCTGTGCCAGTAAAATATTTCAGTAATAGCTCTGCCTTTCGAAAAATCACTTTGGTTCCAACTGATCAAACATGGTAACATAATGCTCAACCTGGAGTTAAGTAACTTAGAAAAAAGTTTACTATAATATTGCACATACTAAGGAATCTTATATCATTAAAATGCTGGGGGGGGGGGGGGGCTTTAGGAAGCATGATTATGCAAGTATGTGTAAGCCACTTAGGCAAATTAGCTCCGCAGAAAATAGAAATGAAGGCTTGAACAATATCTGAAGCAATAATGGACCGGCAATTTTGAATTTTTTTTTGCAATAAAACCATCAGGTCCAGGAGAACTGTCTGGATCCATAGAAAGGATATAGACTTTCAATTCCTGCTCAGTAGGTAATGACGTCAATTTAGAGTTAACATCCTCATAGAAGGTTCTATGAAATCCAAATCAAGGAAATCATTTTGCTCATCTTTTCGACAAAAGAGCCCTTTAAAATATCTCACTGCAGCTTTTTAGACATCTTTAGTCCCTTCCACCCATCGATATGTTCATTTTGGATCTTGATAATATTCAACCTCCTTCTCTTATATTTGATGACATTGTGAACTAAGTAGTATTAGAATCCCCATAACTTAGCCATTTTACTCTGCCTTTTTCCCTTAAAATAGAGTCCTAGATCTTGAGGTATCTAATATATTCAGCTCTGTATTTGTTCAAATTTATTCTATTAGCATTACTGTTGTCATTTATGGTAAGAATTTCAAGACTTGGTTTCCAATCTTTTAGGTTTTTCATGAATATCTCCATAAGCCTCTTTTAACTAAGAGCTAAGTCTAGATGCAGTCTTCTTGAGCTTCTGATGTAGGATCCATAGTGAATTGCTATTACACTCCTCTTGCTAGGTGCTTTTAACCACATAAAGAAAGTCAACATGATCTGTTCAGAAATTGAGAAATTTGAAATATTTATCACGAGCCTCTTCATTATGGCTAAACTGAACCAAAAAGGAAATATGATCAGAACA